TATTCAGACTCAGCCTCTCCAGTGAGTCTCAGTCCCACATCAACTGCCCATTGGCCATGTCAAATTCAATGTCCTGATGATATCTCAAACCCAACCTGTCCAAAGCTGAACTCACTAAGTTACCCCCAAACATTCCCTCCCTTCCTTCAAACCTCCCTGTTTCTCTTGAAGATACCATCATCCTTCCCACCTCCCAGGTTAGTAACCTCAGCATTATCTGGGACTCTTCCTTCTCACTCACCCTGCATACCTGGGTTGAAGAAGTTGTCACATCTTGTCATTTCCTTCTTTACAACATCTCTCTCATCTGACTCAGTTTCTTTACTCTCACAACTACCATTCAGGCTCTCTTCTTACCTCTCACCTAGATTCTTTCTTCTGCTTCCTCATAACTTTTCCTTCCTCGTGTCACTCCTATTTCCTATCTATCCTACACATGGCTGCCAAAGACATGGTCTTTAATGGCAAATATGACAGTGATTTCCCTATTCTATCCACTCCAGTGGCTTCCTACTGCCTCTAACATAAATTATAAACTCTTGTTATTGGTTTTTGAAGCCCTACACAACCTGACCCCGATCTATGTTAACAGTCTCAGTGGACACCACCCCTCTCCCTGCCCTTTGAGATCAGTCAAACTGACCTTCTCCTCCTGTCTCTGACCCTTGACATTAGCCTTCTCCAAAGCCAGGAATTCACTTCCTTTTTATCTCCACCTCACAGAGTCTCTAAAATAAATGTTCATTAATTAAAAAACAATTTGTGTGCTGTAAAAAATGCTGAATGTGATGAATACAGGGTGCTACGTGAACTAGCACAAAGTCAGCAGAGCCAAGAAAACAATACACACAATGACCACAACAAGGTAAATAGAATGAACAACCAAATACAAAGAAAGTAAAAGTGAATGTAGCAAAATTATAAAGATCCTATTTCCCATAAAGATAAATGACCTGAATGAAGAAATATGAGAGGATATTTGGGGTGGGCTGGCCCAAGGTGGGAGACCCAAAGTGTTGCACATGCACATGGCATGTTTTCAGATTTTTTCATTATGTTAGTCAGTTGTGCTGAATTTTTCCTCTTTTTTTTTTTGTCTTTAAAAAATGCTATTTGTCAGATAGGATGGCTTTTTGAGAAGGAGAGAGGGAGGGAGACTGGGGAAAACAATGATGTAAAACAAAAACAAAAGACATCAATAAAAACTTATTTTTAAAGCATCTTTTTTGGTGAGGCAATTGGGGTGAGGTGACTTGCCCAGGGTCACACAGCTAGTAAGTGTCAAGTGTCTGAGGCTGGATTTGAACTCAGGTCCTCCTGATTCCAAGGCCACAGCTCTGTCCACTTCGCCACCTAGCTGCTCCTAAAATATTTTTAAGTTAAAAAACTCCCGCATCTCAAGCAATATCTTCTGCATGAAGCCTTTCTTGATTCCCCCAATTGCTAGTGTTCTTCTTCCCAAATTACCTTATATTTAACAATTTTGTATTTATTAATTTTACATTTGTGCTTTGCATATGTTTCTATGCATATGTTATCTCCCCTATTAGATTGTAAGCCCTTTGTGAGTTGGGGGAAGGAAAGGGAATATGCATTTATATAGTTGCCTACTATGTGCTGGGCACTGTGCTAAGCACGTTACAGATATTATCTCTGTTGATCCTCACAACAACACTGAGAGATAGGCGTTATTATTATCTCATTTTACAGCTGAGGAAACTGAGGCAAACAGAAGTTAAGTGACCTGCTCAGGATCACACAGCTAGTAAGTGTCTGAGGCTGGATTTGAACTCAGGTCTTCCTGGCTCTGGGCCTAGCATTCTACCTAGAGTTCCACTGAGCTGCCTCGTGGAGTAGGAATTGTTTAATTCTTTATACTTGTTATTGATTGATTATGATTGTCCTCTTTCCTTCAGTCTTTTTTGAGTCCATAATTAACCAGTTCAATAAGGTACCTTCCTTTATCCTCAAATTCCTTGTCCTTCACTCTAGACTTCCTTGACCATCCACTGTTAAGCCCTGCTAATCCACAACATGGGCCTCCCCTACCATCTACCTTTTCCATTTCTGATCCTAAACCTTCGAATGATACTTGATGAAATCATGTGGTCATGAAGACTGGGTCCTCTGCACATTCATTTTTTTTCTTTACCTCAACTAAGCCCTTATTTCTACATTTTCGTCCATCTATGATTGCCTTCCTATCAACTCCCCCACAACATCTGTTCACAATTTTCCTCTGTCTTTTCAAACCCCACGTTCCTCTTCCCTCCCTATTCAGCATTTGACTACTCCTATTTTATTCAGAACAAAACTCTGCCTCAGTTTCCTCATATGCAAAAGGGGGGTAATAATAACACCTACTGCCAGGGCTGACATCTGGGTCAAATGAGATGATATTTGTGAAGCACTTAGCACACTGCCTGGCACATAGTAGATGCTTAATATTTTCTTCCTTCCTTCCTGTTATGAGATCCCTCATTTCACCTTCTCCACATCTCAAAATCTTTTGATATCTATAACTATCCCCATCTCTACTCCCTTCTTTTTGCTAAGGCTAACCTCTCTACTTGCTTTCCCAATCCCTTCTCTCTAATCTTCAATCTCTCCCTATCTACTGACTTCTTCCCCACTGCCCAGAAACACGTTCAGGCTCTCCCTATCCTTAAACAAGACTTCCTTTAACCTAACTGTCATCTCTTATCCTTCCTCTCCAAGAAAAGCCCACCCTCAGGGCTTCCACTTTCTCACCCTTCAATCACTCCTCACTTTACAGACTCATGCTCTTAGACCTGGAAGGCTCTTATTTTACAGATGACAGATGTTTAATGTATTGTCCCAGAGTTTAATGTGTTGTCCAAGGTGACGCAGATTTCTATTTAAATTGAACACCACTGTTTTAGAACTTTGGTTCAAATTCCACCTCAGGCATTTAATAACAGTGTCTTTTGGAAAGTCATGTAACAGTTCTGTGCCTCAGTTTCTTCATCCATACAATAAGGGAGTTGGATTCAAAGGTCTTTCAGGTTGATTCTATAGGGTCATAGCTCTAAATCTATGACCTAAACCTATAATCTTACTTGTTTAGTATGGCCAGAGAGGAAAGAACAACAGACGGAGTCAGGTGACATGCATTTGAACGTCAGCTCTGAAATCAACAGTCTAGGCTCAGGTGGTCTGGTCATTCTCCCCCATTGCTCAAATGTCTTTCCTATTCACTTCCACCTGTTGAGATCTCATTTCCTTCACGACAAAGATTATGTGCCACCCCTACCAGGAAGCCATTCCTGATTCCCTGAGTAGTCAGAGCTCCCCCCCCCCCGAAATTACTGTGTATTTATTTAGTTAGTTATGTGTCTCTCACAGCAGAATATAAACTCTAAGGTGATGCTGATGGTTTTTCACTTCTGTCTTTGTATCCCCAGCACTGCATAGTATTCTGCTCATATTAATTAGGCACGTAATAAATGTTAGTGGAATTTAATTGAATCTACTAGTTGTTTGAGCACCGCCAAATCATGCAACCCTTTCCTATCTGAAGTAGGATCCATTGAGGCCCAGCCATCCCCAGTGCCTGGAAGGCACTGCTTCCTCCTCCCTCCCTTGTACTCAGAACCCTTCCTTTCCTGCTAGGTAGAGGGTAGGTGTCCAAGCTTATTATGTATATAAACCCTGAGATCCCTCTTACAGAATGTCCTCCCTCCCTTCTCAACTTTCCCTTGAATACTGTCTTTGGATATCACCTTTGCCCCAACACTCCCTCTACTTTACATAATGCTCCTGGTGTGGATGCTATCCCCTTCTCAGGAAGTTAACTCTTGAGATTACATTGCGCAAAACCAACAGAGGTTGCACTGTACAAAAATTGTAACATAGAAAGTGTGATGTAATGACAGGGATTGGCTCATAGTAGATGGTAAATCTTATCATTGAGCAGAGTGCTCAGTACACAGTAGGTGCTTAATAAATATTTGCTGAATATTGTTCACTTGGAGGGTATGGATTGGGCTTACAAAGTACCGGAACCTTGCTCTTTTAGCCTCACAGAACGTGCCTATGAGGAACACTGGGGAAATCCAGGATGTCTCCAAAGTCTAGTGCCCTTTTAAGTTAACAAATCTTAAAACGGCACTGTGACTTTTAGGCAACGCTGTGTCTGTTCTGTTTTACAGGAGGAAACCGAAGCTAGCAAAACTTGACTAAGATTTCGTGGCCAGTAAGTAGTAGTGTTGAAAGGGACCTTTAAAAGATTCAATCCACTTTTTTTAGAGGCTGTCAGCCAACATGTTAGCTTCTAGCTAGCTTTCTGCTCTCAAGACACTGGACAAGCACCCCGCTTCTGCCTCTAACCAAAGCGCTGATAAAATAGTGAACCCCACGGGGATCAAGAACACACCCCTGGGGCACTGTACTAAACGGACTTACCTTTTATCCTCTACGTGTCCTTTCCATCCCCCTCCCCTTCATCACCACCACACTCTCGTGGAAAAGCAGATGGGTCTGAGGATCTCCCAGGCTCCCTTCCCAGACCGTCCTCCCCTCCTCTCTTCCAGGATCAGGCTACAAGTCCTTTCCCCTCCAGCTCCCTCCCGTTCCCAGATCGCCCTTCATAATCTAACTGCTGCATTTTACAGTTGAAGAAGCGGAAGCCCAGAGGGTTAGGGGCTTTGCCCAAGACCACATAGGTAGTAAATAGCCCTAGGATTAGAAGTCAAATCCTCGAACTCCGTCCGAAAGGTGACTTTCACCCCTCGGGCTTTCTTCCTCTCCCTCCATTCCTATTCAGCACCAGGACCCCGGGGGAGGAGGGGTGGGGAAGAGGGGCGCTAGGCTGAAGGACCCTCGGATTGCTAGTCAGTTTTGGTCCCTTCTGTGCTCCTCCTCCTTCCTCTCCATTCCCTTTCTTCTCCCGAGGGGCCCTGAAAAAGGAAAGGACAGGGGGGCGCTTGGAAGATTCCCATGGAAGGACAAGCACATGCAGAACTACCTTCTTTCCTTACCCAAAACCAGGAAACTGAAAATCCAGTGAACCACAGCTAGAGTCTGCAGCCGCCGCTCCAGTGGCACCGAGAGAGGCGCGAAGGAAATCATCGTGGCCCCAGTGACCTGGTCGTCTCAGCCAGCTGTCCCGGGGGAAGGGGTAGGGCGGCTCCCTTGGGCTGTCTGGCCAGGACTCAGCACGCCCGGAGTAACCTCCGAGGCTGGAAGACTCTGGCTATTTGGCCTCGCCCAGCCAGGAGCTCATTCCTGGGGGCGGGACTTCGGCTCTTCCCGGGGTTGAGCTGGTCAACCTTTGCTTGAGACTGCGCTCCTGCCCCGCCCCCGTCCCCCTCCCCATGCTGCTTTCAGTTGTCACTCAAACCACGGGAGGGAGGTGAAAAGACCTCCCTGAACATTTAAAGGTTGTCTGTTAGAGTCTCAGAGAAGGGAAGTGATTTACCTAAGGTCATCCATCAAGTAAGCCTCAGCACCGAGAGTTTGAGAGCCAGCTTGTTGGAAAACGAAAAGTGAAAGGGAGAGTGATGCTAGGCTAAGGAGGTTCTCGAGTGCCAACGATAAGAATTTATACTTTTTTTCAGACAGCAACGAGGACCCACTGCATTTTTTTAGACAAGTAGTACGATTATAGCAGCGTATTGGAAAGACTACTCTGATTCCCCAATTGATAAATGGTTAAAGGATATGAACAGGCAGTTTTCAGACAAAGAAATCAAAGCTATCTATGATCATGTGAAAAATGCTCTAAATCACCACTGATTAGAGAAATGCAAATGAAAACAATTCTGAGGTACCACCTCACACCTATCAGATTGGCTAATATGACAGAAAAGTAAAATGATAAATGCTGGAGGGTTTGTGGGAGAATCGGGACATTAAAGCACTGTTGGTAGAGGTGTGAACTGATCCAACCATTCTGGACAGTAATTTGGAACGATGCCCAAAGGGTTATCAAACTGTGCGTACCCTTTGATCCAGCAATACCACTACTAGGTCTGTATCCCAAACAGATTTTTTAAAAGGGAGGGGGAGAGGACCTATCTGTACAAAAATATTTATCGCAACTTTTTTTGTGGTTGCTTAGAATTGGAAATTGAGGGGGTATCCATTAATTCGGGAATGGAACAAGTTTTGGTATATGATTGAAACAGAATACTATTGTGCTGTAAGAAATGATGAACAGCATCATTTCAGAAAACCTGGAAAGACAAACATGAACTGATACAGTGAAGTGAGCAGAACCAGGAGAACATTGTATACAGTAACAACAATATTGTACAATAAACAACTGTGAATGACTTAGTTATTCTCAGCAATTCAATGATCCAAGACAATTCCAAAGGACTCATTATGAAAAATGCTATAGCCACCACTAGAGAAAGAACTGATGGAGTCTGAATGCAGATCAAAGCATACGATTTTTCACTTTATTTTTTCACAATATGACTAACGTGGAAATGTGTTTTGCATGATTGTGCATGTATAATCTATATAATATCAAATTGTTTACTGGTTCTGCAAGGGAGGGAGAAAGGAAGGGGGAAAGGGGGAGAATTTGGAATTCAAAATAAAAAAAGAATATTAAAAATTGTTTTTATATGCAATTGGGAAAAAAATTTTAAATTTGCTCTTTCAATAGTTTGGACTGAGATGGACTGAAGAGGAAAAAACAGGAGGTGGGAAAACCATTTAGGAGTCTATAATAGTGGTGGGCAGCTAGGTGGCACAGTGGACAGAGTGTCTTCCTGGAGTCAGGAAGATTCATTTTGATGAGTTCAAATCTGGCCTCATACACTTACTAGCTGTGTGAAACTGGGCAAATCTATCTGCCACAGTTTCCTCTTCTCTAAAACCACTCCAATATCTTTGCCAAGAAGAGGTAGGGAGGATTAATTAGGAAGTCCCAACACAGTAATCTAGGCAAAAGGTGATGAAGGCTGAATTAATACCTCCAATCTTCTTGTTCCCATACCCTACCTCCTTAGTATCTGTCCCTTAAACTGAATACCCTATTTCCTCAGTTCCATTCTTTTGCCCCAATTCAGTCCCCTCAAATTCCACTTTCTCAGACTCTTCAGTTCAATTCAACAAGTATTATTTTTAAAAAATTAATTTATTTATTTTTAGTTTTCAACATTCACTTCTATAAGCTTTTGAGTTTTAAATTTTCTTCCCCTCCTTTCTCTCCTCTCTCCCCAAGACAGACTGCAATCTAACATAGGCTCTACAAATACATTCCTACTAAAGATATTTTCCCATTAGTCATGTTGTAAAGAAGAATAAGAACCAATAGGAAGAACCATGAGAAAGAAGAAACAAAACAAAACAGAAGAAAAAAAAGAGCAAATAGTATGCTTCAATCTGTATTCAGACTCCATAGTTCTTTCTCTGGATGTGGATAGCATTTTCCATCACGAGTCTTTTGGAGATGTCTTAGATTCTTGCATTGCTGAGAAGAGCCAAGTCTGTCAAAGTGAGATATTACACAATGTGGCTTCACTCAGCATCAGTCCATACAAGTTTTTCCAGGTTTTTCTGAAGTCTGCCTACTCATCATTTCTTATTGTACAATAGTGTTCCATTATATTCACATACCACAACTTGTTTAGCCATTCCCCAATTGATGGGTATCCTCTCAACTTCCAATTCTTTGCCACCACAGAAAGAACTGCTATAAATATTTTTGTACATGTGGGTCCTTTTCCCATTTGTATGATCTCTTTGGGATACAGCCCTAGAAGTGCTATTGCTGGGTCAAAGAGTATGCACATTTTTATAGCTCTTTGGGCATAGTTCCAAATTGCTCTCCAAAATGGTTAGATCAGTTCACAACTCCACCAACAATGCATTAGTGTTCCAATTTTCCCACATCTTCTCCACCACTTGTCATTTTCCTGTTTTGTCATGTTGGCCAATCTGATAGGTGGGATATGGTACCTCAGAGTGGTTTTGATTTGCATTTCTCTAATCAATAATGATTTAGAGCATTTTTTCATGTGACTATAGTGCCAACTTCAAGGATCATCAAGTAGCTCGATTTGCTGAACATAGAGTTTTCGAATGAATGGATGATGGATGATCAGTTTGGCGGTGCTGACATCCCATAGTATTACAATCCAAAGAGGAAAAAGTGTAAGTCAGAGAGTTGAGTCATTTAGTTATTCAATCCATTATCTGTTATTTGTCAATTTAGCTATATCAATCAGTTAGATAATTAATTACTATGGAAATGTTCAAGATGACCACCTTTTAATCAAATACACAAAAAAAACAAAAACAAAAGAAGCACATTTCTAAATACTCATTAATGGTCCTGATTAGATAGATGTTGTGGGTTCAGCTGGCTACTTCTTCTGGTTATGCAGCTTAACAAAAGGTAGTTAACAGCTGAGGCCATTTTCTTCTACCTGGTGGTCTTCCAGATCTTCCAATATCCTTCAACGGAAGGGAGGAAGGGCTTCTAAATGTATATTTTGCTTAAAGAAGCTGCTTTAGAGGTCAGTCATCAAACGGGCAAAAATCTGTGGTGCAGATGGACCAAATGACCTAGGTTTGGTTAGATGTCTCAATGAGTAAGCAGTGAGTTGCTTAGATTTACGCCTGGCCAGGAAAATAGAGATAAAGATGACAAATAGAGATAGTGCATGGCACATAGTAGGAATTTAATAAATATTGATTGATTGAGAAAGTGATTGAAAGTGAAAAAATAATTCATTCTATATGGTACCAGGACATCTCCTTAGGTTGTTTTTTTTTTTTTCCATTGTTGCTTCTTAAATACATGTGTAACTTTCTAATGGTTTCTTCCTTTTGAGTTGATTGGAAGCTCAAAGAAAGCATTGGAGGTGGGAATGGCAAATGCATGAGAGAGTAGCTGGAGTATTCAGTGCAAGGAAGAGCTGGTAGCTTAGGCTGGATGCAACATCAAGTTCATCAAGGGGAATAGGATGAAGGATTTAAGGTAGCAGAGAGGAAAAGGAGGCATATGAGATAAATCTGGAAACGGAAGGGGAGGCCAAGTGATGGTAGCCTTTGAGTGCTGAACCAAGGAGTTTGGACTTTATCCTATAGGCAGTAGGGAGCCATTGAAAGGTTTTGAGTAGGGCAGTGCCATGATCAGAGCTGTGCATTAGAAATAGCTCATATTTATACATCACTTTATAGTCTCCAAAGGTTTTTTTAAATTTTTTTAATTAATTAATTTTTACTTTTCAACATTCACTTTTGTAAGATTTTGAGTTCTAAATTTTCAAAATCTTATAAAAGTGACTAGAGGGCACTCTCAGGAGATACGAGGGGGTAGCAGGAGTAAAGGAGAAGAAAAATGAGAAGCTAAGTGCGGAGAAGTCAGAGACAGGGCTCAGGAAACAGAAGAAAAGTTGCACTGAAGCCTATTGGGGTCTGTAGCTGCTGCTAATTTTTATGCTAATTACTATTTTTACATGATATCCTTGATTTTTTTTTCCTCTCCTCAAAGCTTAAAATATTTATTATCTGGCCCTTTACAGAAAAAATTCATCAAACTCTGCCCAGTGCCATCTACAGAATGAGAGAGAAGAATCCTCTCAGGAGAGCCTGTGTTGCCCTCTATTGACTTCTCTTGTTGGAGAGTGAGAAACAGAGGCAGGGAAAGACAGACTTTGCATTGACTTTCCTCTGAAAATGAGCTTCACTTAGCTGAAATCTGAGTGGACAAAGAATTACTTGATATTAGAAGAGTTAGCTGGAGGAAATTGATATTTACAGCTCGAGAGACAGAAAACCTTCTTTGAGCCTCAGAGCAGACCTGAGGAGCTTGGCAATTCTCTGGCTTAAGGTAGTTTATTATCACTAAAAGAACATAACACTTTCTCAGCACCCTGTAAAAGGTGGCTATGTGCTTAAAGAATTTGTCACAAGTTCAGCAATCTGAAAGTAAATAGCAGAAAAGTAGCTTTGACTGAGTTGAGTTGTGAAGATCAGACATGAAGGAGATAGCAAAGAAGTAGTTTTGCCAATCATGGGAGATGTGATATAGACTCTTCTCTAAAAAGACCAAAGATGTCTATAGGATGACTTCACATGGATAATGGATATCATATTGCTTGTCTTCTCAGTGGGTGGGGGAGGGGCTTGAGGGAGGCAGAGAATTTGGACAATTAAAATTTTTAAAAATTGTTCATATCCTTTGTCTACACATCTATTAAGAAATGGTTTTTAAGGGGCAGCTAGG